TGAACCATTTCACTTTTAGCTTTTCCTCTGTCAACTCATTCTGCAACATTTAGCCCAAACTTCATAACTTCTTCTTAGGACAGACATCTTGTCCAGCTCTTTTTAACACATTGCACTGTTCATTCCTTCTATTCCGTTCAAAAACTAACAAGTCCATACAAACACATGCCAATTTCTTACACTAAAATATTACATTCACATTAGCCCCAGCTCCACTGACAACTAATTGTTAGCACCTAGCATTCAATCACTTACACTACTCTGACATGCAGCTCATCCTTCACAACATTCATCTCACTCCTCCAATAACTACTTAGCAAATACAACAATATACCAACAACTGCTATTGTTGCTACTACAGCTGAGACAGTTAGCTGCCAGCTCCCTCCAGCCTCTCACATCACACTACGGTCCCCCAAAAACAACATCAGCCATCACTGCTGCCATCTACACAACAGATCAGTACAACATGTACACAAACAAACACATGGTGACCTACAGTGGAACCTCGACATACCAGCGTCTCGACATCAAAGCAAGCCTTTTAACAATTTCACTTCAACATACTACCTCATATTATTTTGTGTTTAAAATCCTCATCCTCTCTGTGATCACTCATCACACCAACACTCTACCTCCCATCATCATCAGTACATCCCTGCTCCTCACAATTGCACATGCCACATACTCTACGTGTGTGTGTGTGTGTCACTGTGTACTTACCATCACCACTGACTCCTCTCCTCCTCCTCCCCTTCTTCTTCTTCTTCTTCTTCATCCTTGCTCTCTGCAGTTCACATAACATCAAACTTCACCATCACACCAACACTAACACACCAACACCACCAACAAACTAAACACTGTCACACATTCCCCTCTACTCCACCTCCTTCTTCACACTGCACCGCTGTTCAGCCTCCAACATCAACCACACCACTGTTAACTCACCTTCTACGTCGCACAGAAGAGTGGGCTCTTCAGGACAGGGCTACCAGCCAACAGAGGGGGCGCCATCATCCACTGTGATCAGAGCCTCTCCAACGACGACAACGACAGCTGCTCCAACCCACGTCTCCTCCTCCACTCCAACATGGCCGACTCATACACACTGAAGATGGTTCTCCTCTTCACCGTTTACTGGGACTCCTTCAACAACACATGGTCACTCCACTCTCCATCTGACCTCATTCCCACTCTTACTTCAACTTCTACTGCATCTGACTTTTTTTGTTTTTTCCCCCTCACCTCATTCACATCTGACCCTCACATTAATATCACTAATCTGGTACATGGCACTAATATGACATCTCCAGTCTTCACTTATGCATTTGCAACATCACATGACTACATGCCCCTCTCCTCCCATACCTCTAACAGACAATACTCATCTGGCCTTCATCGCACTTACTGTACTTTCTCTCCTACTCTCAGACTACCACCTGTCTTCTACTGCTCTTTCATGACAGATGTCTCCCACACCAATGACTCTTCTGGGTCAACATTTCAGGCCATTAACCACATCAACAGCCATAGCTACTTATTTCACACCTAACAACTACATTTTCAATCATCCCCCACAAACATCTACTTTTGAATACCCCTCCCTCCACCCCACACACTCCCTACTACAGTGCATTACTCTGATCACAGGTTCACATATCCAACACAACACATTTTGAACCCATTTTCACCACACCACTTCACACACAGCACTTTTTCTGTTTGACACTCAGACCCTTTTCTATTTAAACTACTTCTCCAAACCTCATCACCTCTACACTCCTCTGGCCTACATCAGGGGTTGGCAACCTTAACCACTTCAGACAGAAAATAAAACACTGGGAGACGGAACATCCTTTGGACATTTAATGGAAACACAACACCAGGTACACACACACACTTTCACATCAACAAACACACACCAACAACAACACATTTCTGCAGGACACAAACACACTTTCCATTCCAACAAAACTCCTTTCACTGCACAGATATCACTCCAAGTCCATTTCAGTCCTTCTTCATTTCATCCAGTTTCTTCAGCTCCAAGGTCAGCCACATACGCATTCTCAACCAGTCGAGGCAAACTTCACCCGGGGGCACAGCTGCAGAAGGACCATGGCAGGTGAACGGGGAGGGGGGGGGTGGTCGGAGCTCCATCTCAGTCACCTGCAGCAACAGCGTCATGGATTCACGTCGTCAGAGCCACAGGACCAGGACAACAGAGTGGATACATATATTTATGTCCCTTACACTGGTGGACATCACATACAACGACAACATCACAGTCGACCACTGCACTCAAGGGGGACGCACACAAACACTCAGTCACAAACACACACACACCTGGATTACACTCTTCATTTTCCACAGCCACAAGGACAAAAGAACCACATAGGTTGCCAACCTCTGCCCTACATCGAAAGTCTCACTTCTACAGAACCACAGTTCCTCTGATTTTTAGCCATCACACAGGACAAAGCTGCTTCTCTAACGTTCATAAGTGCCTTCGTGCCAAACTCCCATTTTGGAAGCCTGTTTTGACATCACTTCAGAACCTTCATCTTATCATTGGCCATAGCTACTTCTTTAAGGCAACTGACTTACAAATACACCTACTTCTTCTGAATTGTCTGCCACATCCTCATTCCTCATCTCTGCTACATGAACCATTTCACTTTTAGCTTTTCCTACGTTATTTCCTCTCTACTTTGTGCATTACTGTTCTTGTAACTGACAACTCCTAACAAGGTCAGTAGCAAGGACAGCAGCGACAACTACTAACATTTGATGCCCATTGTTATAAAGCATGCAACTATCAACAACTACAACCATGATGCCTGCTACATAACTACTATAACCTTTTACGTCATTTCACTTATTGCTTTGTTTACGTACATTACTTAGTGTTCGTGTAAGGTTCGCTACACAATCCCTTGTCTACATACGGGCCAACTCTCTTCCCCCTCCTCCCCCTCCTCCACACATGCAACCATTAACCATTACTGTATCATCTCTCTCAAACGTATTAACTCATAATCAAATCCACTTTTCACTTCCTTTCACCGTACTCCTTACATACCATACCTTTTTGTGTCTGTGTATGTCTCTATAGCAACTACAAACATGTTTCATCCATTCTAACTAACACCAATAAGCAGCCAAAACACATCACTTTTTTTCCCCCTATTACTTCTTAAGGGCAACAAATTATTCGACATGCTAGTATCTCGAGGTTCCACTGCATTTCACATGTCAGACACTGGGAGGTTTCCTCCATTTACCTACTTCACATTGCTTTTCACAACAGGTTCAATGGAGACAGTTTCTTACAAACCAAGTGCTACAACTACCTCCCCCCACAACATTTGTTACACTGTCATGCTTGGAGTTGCTGTACCTGTGTTCTGCAAACTTCCTTAGACGTCTTCTGACTTCAAACAGCAGCTCCTTGTTGGTTCCTTTGAGAAGACGATAACAACATACAAAATGGATTAGGTAACAGCATACACATCGTTGTAACTACTGTAACTCCACTTTGCGTCCACAAGGGGTCAATATAAAACTCCTGCCTGGATTTTTACTTTTCACATTACTTGTGCACAACACCTACTTAGACCTACTCCTACATGTTGTCTTGTGTCGGTGACGGCTCGGTGCTCAGCACTCACTCAGAAATTCAAACTGTTCCATCTGTCTGAGCCCAGATCATTACTTTTATGATTACTTCTAGCAGAATACGTCACACTGGACATAAGTGCACCACTGATGTAATGCTTAAAAGATTACAAGCCTCCAGTCACTAGGTGGCAGCACTTCATACACTTGTGTATACAAATATGCACATATCACATTTCTCATTAGTCTTTAATACCTTGCTGTCCCCAAGGGGAGCAGGGGAGACTTTGTCAGACTGCTACCGTCTAACTAACACAAACATTACTTTATTAACATCTTCATGTTATTTCAAGTACTTATATCTATGACCTCACAACTATTTTTAAGAAATTACATCTAATTATGCCACCACATACCATTCCTCCCATGTCAAAACTTTCTACACTACGGTCTGACTACACTATGAGTTCTGTCATTAAATGGAACAAAGCTAAAACAACTACAAATACAGCACAACACATACTTTTACATGTTTTTCTTTCACTACATCTCACAACATCTTCTGTGACATGTCAGACAGTCATACAAAACATCTTACTACAATATTACACATGCAAACAAATTCAACTCCAACACATTTTAGTGTCATGTTTGCAATTGCTGTACCTATGTTCCAGGATCTTCTGTGACCATCACCTCCGTCACCTCCCATGCCAGCTCCATCTTGGTTCCTGTGACATCAGAACAAAGCACATTTTTGTTTAGGTCACAGATATTCACATTCAGTCTATCTTTTCAAAACCACACTCTCAAAGACCAGTCCCTCATCTGCTTTGCTTATAATGCGCCTCAAGCCAATTCTCTACATATACATTCACAGCTTCCACTGTATCTTTATCAGCCCTTTCTCCATTAGCAAACCTAAGCTAATCAATCTCTTACTTTTGATTATACACAGGGTTGCTATAACAACACAGACCACATCAAAATAACAGGAAAACATTATTAGCCCTACTATAACACACAACCACACATTGTTACACTACACTGCATCCACTAACGACAACAGTTTTTTCAAAAGCGGTAGCGGCTGGTGAAAATTATTATAAATATTATATTTATAATTATAATATATATATTATTGTATATATATATTATTATAAATTTCATTCTATTCACTTCAAACTACACACAAACATATCACTTACTTCATCATATCCAGACACCCCACCCCCCACGACTGTTAGCGGTAACAACAGTGCCCTCTTGTGGCAAAGGTGTATATCTGCTCACAGGTGACGTGCGTCACTGCTACTTACATCTCCTCGTGAAGACAAATTACTCGCCGGTCAACCCTCACATTCGATAATGTGACAATGATAATCTGGAAAAGAATGGTTAAATTGACACGTGACTTAAAAATCTGCACTCCACAACAATGTTTTCTCATCGTACTGGTTCTACAAACATCTTTGCAATCAACTTAAATTGACTCACGTCAAGTAACGTTAATCTGATAAACCACCAACATCAATGTTACGTTCTCACTAATAAATCTCTAACTTTCATGTGAGACCACAGCATGTAGCTGTACGAAACTATACATTTTCTGACGTTATCGTTAGCTACGAGCTCCTAGCAGCGGAAGGTACACAATCTGTGTTAAGGACGTTTTCAGTCACGTCAAATGCCACAAAACATTTCCACAAAACCCGTCACTGTGACTCACCTTTGCGGAAACTTCTCTGATGCCGATAAAATTGGAAATCCTTGATCCAGTATTTCCCATGTCGAAACAGCACAGTTACCATTCCACGCTTACTTCGTTGGCACCCAATTATTTGACGCAATTACAGCAGATGAGGTGTGCGGGTCGGACCACGTGATGTGTGCACGTGTAATAATGGTTCCCATCATTACCGTGACACACACAAAAAAAAAAAAATTCTTCCACGTACACTTACTTTTTTTATTTCTTTAGTAACTTCCTTCTGCTCACTGGAACACGCACAACAGAAACTTGTCTTTATCTTATATTCCAACCACATAAAAGGACACTGTACTTGTATTCATTTAAAAAAAAAACACACACAAACTAATTACTTCATTATGCTGCTTACGATCAAAGTTCACTTACCACAATTTCTTTTTTTTCTTCTGCTTTTCACATCTCACGGCCACTAGGAGGAATCCGTCAACTATAATCGCCGCTTTATTAACGCACACTCCAACAGTAATAATAAAGGAATAAAAATGTCATAGCAACGCTTATAAATAACACAAATAAACCAACGATCTCATACTCTGACTTACCATTAACGGCTGGATCGACTTGCTGCTAATTAACGCCGCAGAAGGACGCTCCTCGACAGTGCACCGATGACTGTAGGTGCCCCTCTCCGACAGCAGAGGCCACTGTTCTCCACCGAACTGCCGCTGTCTTTCGACACAAGGAACTTCAAACCATTCAAAACACTGATAAATCAATATTGATTTTGGGGGGAGAAAGTGTGCAGTTTGTTGTTCTTAACAGGTCTATTTGTGATTATTTTTGTCATACAACATACATTCCATATAACAGTTAATTTCTTGGGGTATACCTTTACATGTCAATAATTTCACAAGATTCTGATCAGACATTTGCTTCATCTTTTTTTTACGTACTTTCTTAATTAATTTGTTTTACTTTACATGTCAATAATTTCACAAGATTTTGATCAGACATTTGCTTAATTTTGTTTTTACGTACTTTCTTAATTTGTTTGCATTTTCTCACCATTTTGTTGGTTCTACATTACTAAATATCACCACATTTTAGCAACAATCTGCAAAATACAGTCGTTCCCATCCTACATAAGTGAAATTAGAGACTCACCAACCAATCACTACAAAACAAACATTCACTTTTATTCAAATGTCGATTGATACAAAAACTATCAAGAGCACCTTCATCTTTTAATGAACTACAGCTTCTCCGTTTTTCTTTCCTCTTCAGTGGTTATGAATTTGGTGTGGATTTCAAAAGGGACATCACAACCTAACTTGAGAAACACTTTGTGGATCCCTTTCTCACACCGCTTAGTTAAAGACAAAGAACCGCTCCAATTATTCGTCTGGAATGTTACTGGAAAAACAATTACAGTTGGACATCCTTACCACAGCTCAGACAGCAACTTCAGACTGAATAAATAACTATGTACTGCAAATTATAATCACATCCTGGTTGTCCTGAACATCATCTTACCTTAAGTATTGTAGCTGATGAAGGCAGTAAACCTGCCACTGGTAGACTGCCTGCAGATAAAGCCTTCCAATTAAATGTCTGTCAGTGTGGACACAAACAACATGTGTGGCAGCACAGCAGCTCATCTTCCCGTCTGTCAGCAGATTCCTCTCACTTCATACAGTGACGTACTGTATTTACATTAATTTACATACAGAGTTAGCTACAGCTAAACAGAAAGAGACGTGGTTTCAGCCTGTGTGTCGACGTACAGCCACGGGACGTAAATGTCAGAATGAAGTTTCCAATTTCACAGTTTCCACTTCTGCAGACAACTTGATTTGTTAAGATGGGGGACCAAAAGACCAGTTTTAGTAATACGTTATAAAAACAAAGTCCATCTCTCCGTCTTTCTTTTTCCTCATTTTACCAGCCCAATCTTTTTCGCCTCCGTCTCATAGATGAGCAACCTCCACATCTTCACTATGAAAACCTCAGCTTCTTCGTCAAGAACCTGAGCAGAACATCAGAGAAGCAGAAGTCAGGAACACATAAACAAAATGATAAACACAACTACTACATATTAAGTATATATATAACAAGAGGATCTAACTTCAACAAAAACACATTCACTCATTGCTTACAGCTAACAAGAGTAAAACGAAATAAACCTACTTGTCAAACACTTTCTAAACACATTACAGTCAAAACAGCTAATGGTTAAATTAACAAATGCCAAGGTCAAGACTAAGACTCAGAACATCACAGCATCACATTACAACGGGCAAATAACGGTCACATCTTAAGATACAAAAAGGTTTCACTACGTCACAGGTGGTCTACAGACTTAAACTTTCAAAGGGAAGTTGTAGACCCAAGGAAACTTGCCATGATTTCTGTTGAATTGAATTTCACATTTGATTAAGCACCGACAGCTCAAAACAGCACCAGTGACAACAAACCAGTGTCATAACTTCAACAAACTCACCATGGCAACATCATCCAGAATGCTCTGTGGCATACTGTGGGCCATCACCTGAGGAAACACGAAACACTGGCATCAGCATCATTTTCCCCATCTTTTCAGGAGTGGAATAAACAACTTCTCCCAAAGCGTCAGTACCTTGGAGCACACGAAGTCCACTAATGTCGCCTCTTCCTCTCCGATGTACTCAATGATCTTTTTGTTGATCCAGGGACGAACGCGTCGTTCCATTAACGTCTGAGGAAAAAACAATTGAGAGCTCAAGTTAGGAGGAAAACAGTAGCGGCTAACACTTCTGAACAACTTTCCATTTCACACACATTCTAACTCAGTGAGCACAATGCCTCAAAACAAGTTTTTCTTCTCACCGTATCCACCATGGTCCAGTCCAGCGAGTACGAGAACAGTTCCGGTTTTTCCGTAGGAATCTTTTCTATTAGACTCTTGATGTGTTTGCGTTTCTCTTCAGAGTTGGCACCCTTGATGTTGGCAAGTCCAGCGCCGTCCACTCCCAGGCTCTTGTCATCATCGTAGTCCAGTGGCACCAGTTTACGTTTGCGCGGCTGCTCATCGGCCTCTTCATCATCAAACTTATCAAAGACACTGTCCACTGGGAGCTTCTTCCTTTTACCGACATTGGGTTGACTGGGACTTCCTGTAGCACCTGGACATGAAAACAATTATTTCTAAATTGAAAACTTTTCAAATAACATCATTCTGAAGATCGGTGACAGAGGAGTCCCAGAGAGCAAGCTAATGAAAACGATGCAAAACTCCATGAACCTCTATCACGTAGTTTGACAAAGTTGAACAAAAACAACGGACTATTTCAAAAGCTTGGACACAATATGCAGTTTCTTCTTGGAAAAATATGATCCCAATCTTCTCCTGAATCACCCCTGTTGCGCTCATATGACTTGTACAAGTTAAGCCTCCCCTCCCCCTCACACGTGCACACCTTTCACTACAACACTCCACTGAATGCTATATTAATGCTGTAAGCCACATGTGGTAAAAACTGTATTTAAAACCAGTACAGTGATTAGCAAATACAAACCTAGTTTGAGACTGAGGCCAAACTTTGGTCGGTTTTCCTCATGCGGCAGGGCATCTGGAGGCGAGTTCTCATGCGGAATGATGATGCCACAAGGCGACTCATCTCCTGGTGTGTTGGGAGACCCATTGGCACTGACCGATGACACCGAGGGTGCAGCAGTAATCGGCCTCATCTTGGGCTTTATGCTGACCTTTGTTTCAGGGATTTCAACATCATTGTCATATCCTTCACCCTCGCCTTCTTCTACATCATCATCTGAGTGGGGGGGCCGCGCTTGGGACTGCTGTGCTTCCCCTCGGCGTTCCCGGTGGTCTCGTGAACTTCTGCGATGCTCACGCACCTCTGCGGGCTCCAGTTCCTGGAGGATGGTAGGTTGTCTCAGACGCTCCTCCTCCTCCTCTTCCATCTGCACCAATAAAAACAAGTCATGCCAATTACCCCATGGAATTGTTGGGGGAAAGAAAACCCTGCAAGCACACAAATTACAGGCATAACCACTGTGCTGAGACAGCCAGATGATAAAGTGACCTTCAAAGATACAGCAGACACCACCTTCACAAATAAAACACACACGCATCCAAATGGTCCATTACATCACATGTTCTTACCCTGCGCAGCTCAGCGTCTGGGTCTGGATGCCCCTCGTCTAACAGCCTCTGTCTGATTTCCTCCAGCTCCTCCTTCTCTCTCTTCCTGTCACGCTCGTCTGCTTCTATCTCCTTTTCTCTGTCTCTCAGGCGTTTCTGCAGTGCACTGCCCCTAGTGGCCCCAACAAAAATAACAGCTTTGAGAACAATGACCCCAGCCGCAGAACTACATTGTATTAACATTGAGTCGGAGTCACACACAAACATCAGCTGCTTCACACTGATGTTTTTGTCCTCAAAATATTCTAATGTTCTCTGAGGCAATAACATATTGATATTTGTGGTATGTACGGAAAATAAACAAAACAGCACTATAAAAGTAACGGCACACAATGGCATATTCATTTTCAAAGGATTTATTATTTTCCCTATTTTTCCCAACTTCCTGCAAGTTTCTGTGGTGAAAACAATGATCAGTACAAGTAAAACACGGCTTGATTTTCTGCAGAAACACAGCCAAGAACACATTCCTTTCTTCTTCTCACCTGAAGTATTTTGGGTCATCTCTGTCGTCGTCATAGTCTTCAAGGAACTCTTTTAACCTTTTGCCTTCTTTGATCTGAAGATTTAAAACATTAATTACAAAAAACAATATGACACAGCAATAATTGTGCTCTTACAAAACATCTGAATCAGTTGAACCCCAGGAGACTTAACATTTTCATGCAGTTACTAATCAGACAAACACCATTAGTTTAATACAAATATACCTAGCACATGGAAAGTCTATAATTATATTTCAAAGCCAACACAGTGACCACTTGATTGGGTGAGTTAGTGAGTTCTAGCAGCTGCCAATCAAATCAAGGAGAAAATCTTCAGGTATCAGCAACACGTTTTTTTACTCTCACCATTTCTCGCCGACGCTCATCTTCTCTCTCTGTGTCTTTAGCGTAATCCCGGGATTTCTTCCTTTCCCGGAGCTCCCAGTTTTTAAGGCGCTGCAGAAAACATGACCACAGCAACACTTTTAAACATGTACAACTGTTGACTCCAACAACCATTTCAAGAATAATTAACAATATCCTCTGTTCAACACACACAGACCTCCTGATAGGCTGCTTCTTTGTCTCTAAGTTTCCTCTCCAGTTTCCTTCGTTCATACGCCTCCTCCTCATCCTCCTGGTCTCTCTTCTTTTCTCTGTCTCGGTCTCGACTTATCTCCCTGAAAAACAATAGATAGAAATGTATTAATGTAATGTAAATATTTTATACAGTAACCAAAGGTTGATCAACACCACGCCTTCGAAATGTATTAATGTAATGTAAATATTTGTCCACTACAGTGACCAAAGGTTGATCAACACCACGCCTTTCCATTGTTGCTAATAGATGGTTTTTGCCTGACTTTTTCTGCAGGCCAGAACCATTCAGATTTGACCTCTTTTTTGTGAAAAACTTCACTGCTTCTACCTTCATACAATGTTGTTCATAATCACAACTTGTTACTTTTCCAGAAAAACCGTTTGTACATTTCCATCCCTGCATTGAGATATTTGCACAAATGAAAACCACTTTTCCCCAAACATCATTCCGTTTCTGTACCTGGAGCGGCTTCGGTCTCCGCCTCTGTCCGTCTCCCAATCTCTATCTCGTTCTCTTTCTCTGGTCCTACGGTCACGATCTTTGTCTCGGTCTCTCTCCCGTTCGCGCTCTCTTTCCCGTTCCCTCTCCCGTTCCTTCTCCCTCTCGCGGTCGCGTCGCTCCCTCTCTCGCTCGCGCTCCTTTTCTCGTTCCCTCCTTTCCCGTTCAAACTCCACCCGTTCCTTTTCCTTCTTGTCCTTCTCCTCTTCCAGTTTCTGCAGACCAAAACAAAGCCAGGTTCAGCCAAAGCTACATCTGGGCTGGTGGTTCACACTTCTAGTTAATCAAATGGTCAAGTGGTTTCCAGAATAACTTTTCAAAGAGAATCATGCTCGTCCGTGCAAAGCTAAGAAGAGAAGTAGGATTCTTAAGTCTCTAACTAGGCAGAACCAGGAAGCTCTTTAACAAAAATTGATGACAGACTGCCGTGTCAAACTTGCAGTATAACGTTCACATTACTAAAATGTAACTGGAAACCACTTTGTGGTGAACAAGATCCGTGGAACATGTTCCCCTTTAAGACCATTCCAGTGAGAAAAAGGCGCTGCAAAAACACGAGGCTTTTTCTCTCCTAAGAATCGTCCTCTCAGGACCAGGAAACAGAAAACAAACACAGGCGTCAGTCTGCTGGTGAACTAGTTGTATGTCACTTACAGGTGTTGAACTACGGACTCAGCCCTTCGCTGCCCCTACAAGCCTTTAAAGTTAGGCCTGGGAGGAAAGCAGGTCACACGGTATACAAGGGGAAAACATTATGGGACTTTCTTAAGCATCATCATAAATCATCCTTATCATGGTCATCATCATCATCATCAACACCTTTTCCTTCAGTGTTTCATTCAGCAAAAAGCTAAATAAAGATTTCAACATTGTGAACATCTGTTACATTTCTGCACAAGTAAATAAAATTGTAGAAGCGTCTTACCCGTGCAGTGGTCTTTGGAAAAGCTTCAGGACCATGACACTCAAACACACAACACAAAAAACTCAACTTTCATTACACACAAGGCGTATGTGTCTAAATGGTGGCTTTGTGGGAGGACCCTCAATTTCATTGTACCCCCTGTGGTACAATGACGATAAAGATTCTTCTATTTTAATACTGTTTATTCATTATATTTAAAACGTCATTCTACCAAAAGGAAAAAATAGGGAGAATCTCACAAAATGTACATTTCTTTTTCAATCCACATCAGAAATTCATGATTAAATTAACTACATAATGCACGAAAAGTGTAAATGAAAATTAACTTCATGATGCAATGCAACAATACACTGTCTTAAACAAGAGAAACTAAAGCCTTGGGTGTAATGAAACTCAAAAGACAGAAAGACGTGAGGTCTAACATTGACATTTAACATTTATCACTATTTTTGTCTTTGAATGACTTACACAACTTTACTTGCACCCTGCTGTGCTCCTGCCTTGTTTCAGTTACTTACCTTCATTCATTCATTGTTTATTTCGATTTCTTAAAAAAGGAGATTTCATTCAGTGTTTCCAAGTAAACCACTTCATTCAAATTTCTCTTTTTTTTTTTAAGCTTCACTTCCAAAAAAAGTTGTCCAAACCTGAGCACAAACGCGTTTTTCTACAAGTTGGTAGGTGTGAAATTGGCTCTGCGATGCACACAGGATTTATTCAACAACAGTTGAGTGAAACAGGCCAATTCTCCCTCGTCTTTCCCTTGAGGCGGAGTGAAACAGGCCAATTCTCCCTCGTCGAGGCAGTGACCGAGCACCATCTTACGCATTTTTGAAAAGGTAACTAACAGCTATTTGTAGTTGCACTTGCAATCATGTTAATCATTTCAACTTCATTAACACAACCCATGACTATTCAAAGAGTAGTGTGGGTATTTTTTTATTATTATGCTAAAGAAAAAGCCAAATAGGTAGACAGCATGTTAACAGATACTAAGCTAAGTGAGGAAGAAAAGATGGACAGATACAGAGAAAGAGACAGAAAAGGAAGAAGAGGAAAAACACAAAAACAATCACAACACACACATAGAGCACGTACCTTGTTAGTCTTCAGTTCAGCGTGCTGCTGTGGACAGGGCGCCCCCCCCCACATACTAGCATAATATAGCTACAGCCAAAGTCACTGTAGTGGTTATTGAGTCCCTGAGCTTCAACATAAACACCATTAACAGACAGACCATACTTTACAAAGGACTCACACAGGTTCACTGCCTCTCACGTTTCCTCCCAACTAACAATTAATACATGAATGAGTGCCTTCTCATTGGACGGGCTACAGTTGACATGAGAAAGTGCAGCACAGTTGCCCCTATGCAAGTCCTCAACAGGGGGACGCCCGGTATATGTATAAAGAAAATGAAGGCTGATACTTACATCCTATCCTGGCAACTGTTTCCAAAGCTCTGAGATTCATCTTGCTTTAGTCACCATATGATCACTATCATAATGGTGGGGTTTAATGAATAGATTAGCTTTTAGGTAACTTAACATTGTCTCCATGCATTTGTGTGTGATGAATGAAGAATGGATTTATCATGGTCACACCTACATAACCTGACTACAGTGGTCACAATTTTCAAATCCGGACTGAAATGTGGGACTAATGTACTAGCCAACTGCCTACATGTACTTTCTTTAACGGAATCAGTATAAAACATTCTTTCTAATAATGGCGAACAGTAAATCTGAGGATTTCTGAACTGCATGGAAGTATGACTTTCACTAGGAGAAGCTTTCTGAAATGTTTCAGGTAATGTGAAAGACCTAGAACTGCTGTCCAATACCTGTAATGTCAACTACAAAACATTTAAAGAAGCCACTTTACCTTGTGGGTGTCTCGAAATTTACTAATCTCTCTTGAAATCAGGTCTCTCTTGTCCTCCTCCATATCAATAGCATTGATGTCATCCTGTGGGGGAGGGGGATAAAAGTTTTAGTTGAATGAAATGGTTCAGTCTCTAGACAAACAACTGCTGACGCTACTTTTTATTAACTACACTGTTCTTCTTGTGTCACTGTACCTCTTCCTTTTTCTCTTTTTTCCTCTTTCGTCGCTGGGAGTCCTCATCTTGTGACGGTGCGTTCAGTTCGGCCGCATACTCCCGCATCAAGCTATCGATGGCACCTTTAACAATCTGATCCTTCTTTGTAGTCTCCTCGTCTAGAACCTCTTCCTCATCATCTCCTCCACTTTCTGCCTTTTTATTCTGAAAGTAAATAGATTGACAACATATAAGAATTAACAAACAACAGTTAGTTTCTCCATTAGTAAACACATTGAAAAGCTAAAATAACAAACACGCACTCCGTTCAGAGTCTTTTTCTTAGCCTTCCACTCATCCAGCTGAGCCTTTGTCTTTGCATCCACCTTCACGAGAAGATTTTTATCGCCAATCTGCAAGTCGTGCAGCAGCCTCAAGGCTCGTAACGTAGATTCTGGCTCCTTGTACTCACAAAATCCAAAAGCTGCAATAGAAATGTCAAAGAACTTAGCCATTTACATGGACATACATACATGCTTGATAATGTTAAAACCTCCTCTGTTTCTCTGGATCAAACCGCCTGCTAAATGCATAAAAATGTAATTACATCTCTTGATTTGATACAGAAATGTTTGATCAAATCCTTCACTACTACAACATAATCTGTAGCTCTCAGTTGCATCAAATCCTTCACTACTACAACATAATAGCTCTCAGTTGTACCTGTATTCAATTAATGACTTTAAAAGGCTTTATGTGTTTGCCTTATAGACTACCTTGAAGCTTGCCAGAGGCTCCTTGGACTCTCTTCCAACTCAAAACAATCCCACATTTCTGCAACACGAGCACAAAAGACTTAACGCTAGAGCAGTAACATTATAACAATTTCCAAAGAATGACACAGACATATATGACTGTTGTCCTCTCATGAAGTAAAATATATACATTCTGATGTCAGAGAGTGTTAGTTGACATTTATGTCCCTTACCGCAAGGAGCTGTCTGATGAGCATGTCTGAAGCTTTCTCTGATATATTCCCTACAAATACAGTGGTGGTGGGCCCACTGCTCTCATCATGTTTTGCTTGCAATGCCTGAACATCTTTCTTGGGAACTGGAGGCTTGCTGACCACTGCCAAGGAAGAAACCATCACTGCAGGAGACGGAGCCATTATACCCATGTGAACAGGGATCATTGGCGCTCCTGCAATAAATGGAGATGGAGACAACTTATAATTACAGATTGTGCCTCTTTAACAACTGTATCAGACTACATGAAAACCTAAAAGTACAGCAGAATCGTCACAGACATGCACTTTTGTTTGCTCATTGATTCAAAAATAGCAAGTCAGAAGCTGACACTTATTTGAATGAATGATACAGATTTGGATAAAAAGAGCAACGACATAACCACAGAACGAGTGTTGTATCCCCGAATGCGTCTTGCATTTATGTCATTAAGTTTTGGTGATATAATTCCAACACCAAAATAATTAACTTAATACAAGTCTTTTTTACCAGTTTGTTTGCAATGTAAGCATTTACCTGAGGTGAATCCAGCGTATTGTGGAGGAATGCCAGGAGGTGGCAACAACGGCCGGTTTAGGTGAGGGGGGAAGGACATTCTAGAGGTAAACTGGACCAACCTACAAAGACGAGAGCATTCAATTTGTAACAACTCCCACCCTTTACTAACAATCGTTCAAATGCCATTATTTGTATAGTACTACTATAGTCCTATCAAGGAACATTAGTTTGCAATTGGCGGATCCCTTTCTGCTAGGTCAAAGCCATCTTCCAAGTGCTTATAAACTAAATTTGGTATTGCGCCTTAAATTGTGTCATTGTGAAGCATTAAAGCATCTCAATAACTCGTAGAATTAAGTTACGAAAACCCAGAAGCCAAGTTGGCTAAAGCTAGTAGCAGGCACGCTACGTTCCTAGCTAATGCTAAGCTAACGTCAGTAAAAGCTGTTGTTATCTAACGATGGCCATAAAACACATTTTCAAAGTAAACATTGCTTATTGTGAATATGGAAATTTTAAACACAACTTACCTCTATTTGGGGTGTGTGAATACAGGTTAAAATACCGTCAGAATAGTGGAAAACGTTTGAAAGTTGTCGCTTATTCGAATAGCACACCGGCTACTACCGGGCCTTTGGTAGATTTGACGCATGCGTGGTATCGGATCACGTGTGCGCTTCATTTGCACGTCGGTGCGTGGCTGATGCGACAGCAGTGTTTAGCATTACGAATCTATGACTACTTTATTCAACGATCAGAACAATTTTTAAATGTGTGGCAGTGATATACTGAGGTCATCAGTGAATATAAAACATGTGTGACTTAAGTCATAGAATACGAAGATTCGAAGATACGAATTTCTTTGAATCCTTTAGATTAAAGTCACGACTTTGACCATCACAATATAAAATGGAAAAACAAAAACATAACAGACGACACGAACAACAGTGGTAAAACAGACAAGAGGAAATAGTCCGACTAATAAGACATTGTGGTAAAACTGCTCTACACACAACAAAGAGGAGAATTCCGGTTTAACCATTTTGGAATATAGTTTACGAATCCTAATAAGGTATAATATTAAATATCTACGTATATAAAGTAACATTTATTACTACAAATGAAACACTGCCAACTTATTAAGGCTCAATATATAAATCTACCTATATACATCAGTGCTTTGGTGGTTTTATATTGCTTGTATATCTTGCCGAGAGTTGTTTATGCTTGGCAAAAGCTTGCTTTTAAATTGTGTTTTACTTCCAACGAATTCTCTACAGTGTTTCCGGGTATAGTAAGTATTAAGCAGTAAGTAAAGTATAAACATAATTACACAAGAAGAAACCAGCTGTTTTCTAACAGTCATAAAGCATCAGTTAATGTTTGTTACCATGGTGTTTTGTTCCCTGACAGCAGCTGCGCCGCGAGGGCTGCGTCTGACAAGCCCGTGACGTCACTTAAGGCGGGTTTTTTTTTCTTCATGGAAAGTGCTAGAAAAACCGAAGCACACCCTGGTATTCCTACTCAAGATTAAAAAGACCCTTGGTATTCCCGATTTAATGTATAAAAAGGAAAGGCGTACTTACAGTTCTGACCAATTTAAGTATTTATATTCTCAAATATTTTTTTCGACTGCCTTAGCTATTGCAACTGACCTCAGTAGATAGATAGATAGATAGATAGATAGACAGACAGATAGGCAGACAGATAGATAGATAGCACTTTATTATCTGACTACGACATGATAGTAATAGTAAACTCACAATTGTATACTACATAGAAAACATAAAATGCCGTAGATAACATTCATACCCTTCATAGATTTCATGATTCTCAATGTGGCAGTTATTGCACCACGATAGATGAGTTCACCCTATTGTGTGCAAAAATCAATGGTTTTCTTAACAGCAAAATAAGTTTGGTCTTATGGACAAAACAGAAACAGTAAATTTCTGTGTGAATATTGTGGCTACATCGTGGCGCGTGGGGAGTAAATTGGCCCATAAATGTAGACGTGTGAAAATGCTGTTAACCGTGTGACAACACCACTTAATGTTAGGTGCTAATACCGTCACCCAAACATAATGTATTTCATTCAAATGTAAATCATTCTTTTGAATGTACTTCCTTGAACCATTCTTGCTACTAATCCACCGTATTTTAGGTTTCGTTTCTTCTCTTTTCGCGAATATTCTATTTACCGTCTGACTAGTTCGATAGCAGACCTTGGGTCGCGGAGGGATACGGCCTTGCACTGAGACGCGTGTGTATAAAGATTCCCGTCTATTAAAAGGAAGTCCCTTTTCATTTCCCTGCGTCAGAGAGCAGAAGGGACTAGGACTTTGGTTGTAATTTTTTCAAGAAAAAGTCAAGGAACCAAACAAGGTATGTAAGCGAGCGATATCCTTTAGTGTAACAGATATTGAAGGATATATTTTTTGTTTTCCGATAGTGAAATGTGCTCGTATGAGCTTTCTATTCTAGTGTAGCCGTGCTGGGAGCTTTTTGGTCACGATGATAACCTTAGCATCATTTTCATATATCCTACACTCGTAACCAATTTGAATGGAACATATGTTACCAATTTTTCTTAAATTCAATCTTTGTACATTGATGGCCGTTATGCCCAGCTCCATAACTGCGGCAATGTTCCGCACCGCAAGGCCAGGCTTTGAATTGCAGCAAAGCAGGTGTGGTGCCCATGACACCGCAGACTTGAGTTTATTTTTTTTACAGAGCTTATCGGCTATAATTCACACATGCTGTAATTACACAAATTAATTGCCAGTCATTAACGCCTCCCAATCGACGATTGTCAAATGTTTTAATATACGGTAAATTATTGATGCTTAATTCGATGCGTGTTTCTTATGTAACAAAAAAAACCCACAAATTTCGACAAACACCACATTTACACGACTGCCCTTTACGTCAGTGTGTGTATATATATATATATCGTGTACGGTCTTAAAATGGCGATCGTTTGTGTTTGGTTGTATTTAATTGAGTCATGGCGTAGTGACGTCACTTTTGGCGTCTTTACGTAACTGCGTTATCTAATTATTTTTCGATAAAAGATAGAAACCTTTTTTAAGTACAATCGCCGCTTTCATTTCTATCATTCACAGCACGTGTTTGCGGAGTCCATTGTCTGTTAGTGGACGCCATGTTGGTTCAACGACAACTTCCGCCTATCGATAGTAACATGTTTGTCGGGGATCAGTAGTAACGGAACCGATCTGTGGTCGCCATTTCACTAGGCTGTCCAAATTTTATACCACACATGAAAATGACTAAAAGAAAAATCCTTAATAGACGGCCGTTTTGTCATGAGTTATGTTACTGCAGTTATTGACACATGCTGACATAGAAAATGCTCACTGGAAATAAAACATGGTCATGTTTCTTCCAGTATTTACTGATGGGAGTCAGGAGTCATTCTAGAATTTTATTAAAAGTACTACGTTTGAAACAAAAGGTTACTGTTGGTATACTGACTGAAATCAATGTGTGGGCCTATTAAAAACTGCTTGCGGCTCCAAATGTAAACTATTTTAAATTGGGAGAAAAGTTGGTGTATGGGAAGCACTTGCCTTGATTTTAAAAACTTTTTTTTTTTTTTTCTTACCAGATGCCTGAAGAAATGCACCAAGAGGAGGAGGCTGAGACCTTTGCCTTCCAGGCAGAGATTGCTCAGTTGATGTCCCTGATCATCAACACTTTCTATTCCAACAAAGAGATCTTCCTTAGGGAGTTGATCTCCAATGCCTCTGATGTAAGCTTCATTGTTTATTTATTTATTTAAGTGTTAGCATAGATGTATTTATTTATTTATTTATTTTAAGTGTTAGCATAGATGAAAAAAGATAGACTTAGTACCACAGTAACAACTAAAATTTTTTTTTTTTTTCCTCCAATAGGCTTTGGACAAAATCCGCTATGAAAGTCTGACTGATCCCACCAAGCTGGACAGTGGCAAGGATTTGAAAATTGACATCATCCCCAACAAGGCTGACAGGACCCTGACCATCATTGATACTGGAATTGGCATGACCAAAGCAGACCTCATTAACAACCTGGGTACCATTGCCAAGTCTGGCACCAAGGCCTTCATGGAGGCCCTGCAGGTATGGCAATAAATCATAATATACTCAAGACTCTGATGTGGTTTATAATTACATGTTGAAACAAACTGCAAGAAAGGCATGACTTTAATATGATTTTTGTTTACCTCTTCAGGCTGGAGCTGACATCTCTATGATTGGTCAATTTGGTGTGGGTTTCTACTCTGCCTACCTTGTTGCTGAGAGGGTGGTGGTCATCACAAAACACAATGATGACGAGCAGTACGCCTGGGAGTCCTCTGCTGGCGGTTCCTTCACTGTCAAGGTCGACAGTGGTACGTCTTTTGATGATAAGCTGCAGCTTTCCATCTCACTTTGTTTGGATTTTTTCAAATCTGTACACATACTCAGATGTACTGTACACTTAACACAGGAGAGCCTCTTGGTCGTGGAACAAAGATCATTCTGCACCTGAAGGAGGACCAGACAGAGTACACTGAGGACAAGAGGGTTAAGGAGATTGTCAAGAAGCACTCTCAGTTCATTGGCTACCCCATCACTCTGTTTGTAAGTGACTGCACTCCAGAGGTAGGCATAATAACTCAGGTGCTTTTATCGTTGTGGCTGAACTAAATTTTGATATGCAGGTGGAGAAAGAGCGTGATAAGGAGATCAGTGATGATGAGGCAGAGGAGGAGAAGGCTGAGAAGGAAGAAAAAGAGGAGGGAGAGGACAAGCCAAAGATCGAAGATGTCGGCTCAGATGACGAGGAAGACTCCAAAGACAAAGACAAGAAGAAGAAAAAGAAGATCAAGGAGAAGTACATTGATCAGGAGGAGCTGAACAAGACCAAGCCAATCTGGACCAGAAACCCTGATGACATCACAAATGAGGAGTATGGGGAATTCTACAAGAGTCTGACCAATGACTGGGAAGATCATCTGGCTGTCAAGGTAAATGGAACAAGTGAATTCATAAATTGTTTGTAAGAAATAAAGCTGAATTATTAATGTTGTTTTTTTTTTTTTTTTTCTGCCTTCAGCACTTCTCTGTGGAGGGACAGCTGGAGTTCAGGGCCCTTCTCTTCATTCCCCGTCGTGCTCCATTTGACCTCTTTGAAAATAAGAAGAAAAAGAATAACATCAAGCTGTACGTCAGGAGGGTCTTCATCATGGACAACTGTGAAGAACTTATCCCCGAGTACCTGAGTAAGTGCTGCTCATGTCACCGATTCAAGTCATGATAATACTATCCCCTTCAGGCGAACTGAAAAGAAAACTTTATTCCAGACTTCATCCGTGGGGTTGTGGATTCGGAAGATCTGCCTCTGAACATCTCTAGAGAAATGCTGCAGCAGAGCAAGATCCTGAAAGTCATTCGCAAAAACATTGTCAAGAAGTGTCTGGAGCTCTTTGGTGAGCTGTGTGAGGACAAGGAGAACTACAAGAAGTTCTATGAGGCTTTCTCTAAGAACATCAAGGTAAATGCATGAGAACCCACCCAAGAAACACTTTTCTTTCCTTCTAAATGGACTCTAACTTAGAAGTCATTGTCACAACATGCTAGTGCGTGTTTTTTATAGAAATAATCTAATACAAGATGCATTTGCACATTTTGAGATTGTACAACGATACAAGATGCATTTGCACATTTTGAGACAACAATCATAAAAATGTCATGTTAAGACTCAAACCATGAAATTCTCACCCGAGTATTGATCTGTTCTTCATCCCTGTAGCTGGGAATCCATGAAGACTCTCAGAATCGTAAGAAGCTTTCTGAGCTGCTGCGTTACCACAGCTCCCAGTCTGGAGATGAGACAACTTCTCTCAATGAGTACATTTCCCGCATGAAGGACAACCAGAAGTCAATTTACTACATCACCGGTAAGCTTGCTTTTAAGCCTAAATTCAATTATACAGATCATAGAAATGTGTCCTGTAAGAAGGAGCATGAGTTAAAACTATTTTGTACTTGTTTCAGGTGAGAGCAAAGATCAGGTCGCCAACTCTGCCTTCGTCGAGCGTGTCCGCAAACGTGGTTTCGAGGTCCTGTACATGACGGAGCCCATTGACGAGTACTGTGTCCAGCAGCTGAAGGAGTTTGACGGCAAGAGCCTTGTCTCGGTCACCAAGGAGGGGCTGGAGCTGCCTGAGGATGAGGAGGAAAAGAAGAAGATGGAAGATGACAAGGCCAAGTTTGAGAATCTGTGCAAACTCATGAAGGAGATCCTTGACAAGAAAGTGGAGAAGGTTAGTGTTTAAATGTTATCACTTGGCTAAATTAAGAACTATCTGCAGTCGTACTTGACTTAATGTGTTTGGCAACAGGTTCCTTAATTCATCTGAACCTTATGTGGTGAGTTGGACAGGTTAATGGGGTTTTTTTTGGGGGGGGCGGGGTTACCTCCCGTGTGTTGTAATGCACTTTAGACCAGAATGTGTTTGGATCTAACTTTTGAATGTGATGTGCAGAGCTGCTCTAACATGTTCTCATAATTGATTGAAATGACTTTGACAATTGTGACATTTAGGGTTTGTTTGTTTTTGTTTTTTTACGTGATAGCATTTTGATGTGTGGAAGATTGAGAGGGCGAAAAAAAACAACTGCATTTTGTTTAACAACTGTTGTGCATGTTTTGACTTACACAGTCCAGATTGCTGTTAAACGTTGTGGTGGGATTCCATCTAAAATGTATACCTCATTTGTCTGGTCCAGGTGACTGTGTCCAACAGACTGGTGTCTTCCCCCTGCTGCATTGTGACCAGCACCTACGGCTGGACAGCCAACATGGAGAGGATCATGAAGGCCCAGGCACTCAGGGACAACTCCACCATGGGCTACATGATGGCCAAGAAGCACCTGGAGATCAACCCTGACCACCCCATCGTGGAAACCCTTAGACAGAAGGCAGAGGCAGACAAAAATGATAAGGCTGTGAAGGATCTTGTCATCCTCCTATTCGAAACCGCCCTGTTGTCCTCAGGGTTCTCCCTGGACGATCCACAGACCCACTCAAACCGCATCTACAGAATGATCAAACTCGGACTGGGTAAGGAAGCACGGCAGGTCTTAATATTTTAGACATTGTCATTTCATCCTTACTGATTCTAACGTACCTTTCATCATCTAGGCATTGACGATGACGACGTCCCCACAGAGGAGACTACCTCCACATCTGTCCCAGATGAAATTCCTCCCCTAGAAGGCGAAGGTGACGACGACGCTTCACGTATGGAAGAGGTCGACTAAATCAACCCGTTCCCCTCCCAGATTTTTAACACTTTAGCCTCACTTATCAATTGTACATCCAAATAGTCATTCATTTTGTGTGGTGAACCAGAGTTGTCTCCAATATTTTGGAACAGCTTTCTGCAAAACACCCTTTTAAAGATTAACTAGGCAGTTTTGATTCTGTTGCTGTATTCAGTCGGTTAATGGTGACAGCACATTTGTCTAATGAGTACCCTGTTGCACTGAGTTTTAAATGTTGGGGGTGTGTACACACGGGAATGCTACATTCCATTAGGTCTGGAGGGTTTTTGAAGGTTCTCATGTGCAACACTGAATGCTGCATGGAGAGAGGACTGTACGATTCCTTTGCCTGAGTCCAGGCTTGTCTGTATTCCAAGTCTTTGTTTTGCAAAAAATTAAAAGCTGTTCTACCTTATTTTGGTCTGATGTTGATTTCTGTAATTTAACTCAACACTGTATAGCTGAACCTTGGATTTTAAAGGTTTTCTCAAAGTGACCACTAGGTGGACACCCTGTATAGCTGAACCTTGGATTTTAAAGCTGTAGGTTTTTTCAAAGTGACCACTAGGTGGAGACTTTACTCCATGTTCTAAAGCACTGTTCCAACCTTGGTGTTTAGTAACTGCTAAGTTGTATTTGAGGTGTGAGTAATGTTTAGCGAAAAGTGAGTAGTTTGGTTTTCCTTAAGTGGTCTCAAATCTCTCAAAAGCCAAGGTGGCATTTTAAGTTGGAATGTGAAAGGTGGTAGCTACTACAGAAATAACTTTTTTTTTTTTTTAAATTATAAATTTTATATAAGGTGGTAGCTACTACAGAAATAACTTAAAAATTTTTTTTATAAATTTTATACAATGGTATAGTCTGCCATAAATTGGTTTTAATCTAATCCTAACTGCCCAATTTTTTTGGTTGGTCAGAAGATACTTAAAGGTTAAAATACTTAAGTCAGACTCACAATAGGAACCAGCTGCAACTCCAGAAGGACGTCCCAGAGACCAGACTGAAGCACTGCCCCAAGAAAGAAGAAGAATGGAAACAGATTATTAGATGAGATAAGCACAAAATAACTCAACTTCAGATATGTCACCTCTGAGAACAAAGGACCTTTCACCTTCTTCTCACAGGGTACCATGGCACCCAAAGAACACTATCTGTACTGCAACACTGGGAAGATGTTCCAGTTCCTCCACACCAGGAATCTTACAAAGATGAAGCAATGGTTTAATAGAAACAACTCCATTTTATTATCAGTTAGTTAAAAAATGATTACAGTACAGCAGTTAAGTTGTCAGTGATTTTGTACATCTGTAATCTTAAAGCACACGTTACCCATAAAAAGGGTCAAACAGGAAGGAAGGAAGGAAACACAAGAACCAGCTCTTGTTCTCTGTTGAGAGTGACAACTTTAGGGGGAGAAATGTGAGGCTCATCCATTTCTTGGAAATGGTGCATTTTCTACAAGAGTGAAGAGGCGGCAGCAGCATTTACGTGAGAATCTTCAAACACAGTCACTTTTTAGTCAAAGTGATAATGTCACAACAGCATCACGTCCTGTCATTCTGAGAGACAGGCTTGCTGCCACATCTTAAAACCTCTGCATTGCACAAGAGAATTCTGATTATGTGCCGTGTCAAACATATCGAAAAACCTAAGTGGAAAATATCCAGATGTTTCCACAGCACACGCATCGTTAATGTTAAAGGGTTAAAGATTAGTGTTGGTTAAAAAAAAACAACAAGAAGCTAAAATTAGACAAAATGAGAAACGAATACAATACAAACAAAACATCTTAAATTAAAGCTGAGTGTTAGCCATGAAATCGTTTAGTTAGTGGATAATTAAATGTAAAATAATTAACACCCTTAAATTGGCTAAAATTTAATAGGAAGTTAGTATAAATCAACATTTGAAAGGCCAGAAAGCTAAATGGCAGCCTTGTTACTGTTGCTATTCTTTATAACAACCCAAATGGAATCAAAGTGAAATCAAAGAGAATTTACTTGAAGACGTACCTTATTACAAAAATGATCCAAACACAAAGTCAACTAGGAAGCTAACTATTAGTTAAACATTACTTAAACTATAACAATAGTAGCTAAAAATGTGTCACAAAATATCTAGAAGTTAGTCTAGCATTATCTGAATTACTCAAGACGACAACTACAAGTCAGAACTACGTATTAACTAGTACTAATTTGCTGAAGGTTCAACAAAAATAAATAAATAAATAAAACATTGAACAAAACGGCAAAATGTCCAATTTATATCAAAGTTACTCAAGAAACAGTCCAAATTCAGCTGAAGAGTGAATGAAACTATTCACACATGTAGCCAAAAGATGACCTGAAAACACCAAAAAGTTATCCAAAAGGAGAAACACAGGGTAATAAGCGAACAATAGCAGGAACATTTCAAATTATAAGACATAAAACTATTTTTTCACAAACTTCACTTAGCATCTCATTAGGCTGTAGAGAAAGGGGAGGAAAACTAAAACCACAGTCAGATTTAAATGGCAGTCTGACCCTGCAGTGGGGTCACAGGCTGGGGCAGCTGGGGGGAAATTTCCTGTGTTGAGTCACTGCAGGTTTCCCTCAGCCTCAGTGTGAAGACTCCTGACCTGATTTTGCATTCTGTGAACTAAAAGAACTTCCTGTGGAAACATCTGACTCCCTCGAGTAAAACTCTTCCTTCAGCCCACGGATTCTGGGCCGTTGGTGATTACGGTGGGTTTCGTAACTAAGCTACGAGTCAGGTTGTGACCTTTGTGGTCTGTCGTCCACATGTAAAAAATGTGAAGGTGATTCAGCTGCTGAAAGGATTAGATTTTAACCAGAAAAATAAAGACCTATGAGTTCAACTGGTAGAAGCAGAATGAAGGAGGGTATAGATATTAAAGTAACAATAATGCTAAAATAAAATAAAAAAATAGTACAAAGATGAAAAAAATGTAGATTTTAATTAGCTGATAAAATGTGGAGAGTTTTCACTAAATACAAAACACATTCCTATTTTACTTTAAAACTAAATTTTAGCCTAGTAATTGATTAAATAAATAAATAAACCGATAGAATAGAAACAAGCTGGAATGTAGATGGGAAGTGGATTGTTGCCATTGACAACAAAAGGCAAGAAAATAGCTAAGTGTCAGCAAAGACATAGTAGCAACAACAGCTCTAAGTTTAAATGTTCGCTACAGAAAACCAAATGTTGTTCCAGTAATAGTTTAGGCTAGGCTACAAGGTGTAACGAAGTTATCTAATGGAGATGTTGGGTAATAGTACAGTTAAAAGTAGCCAGAAATAGTAAAGACTGGCTTCAAAAATAGCTAACATTACATAAATCATTTGATAGCTTGAATGTGAGAGACAGTGATCAACTCAAGTGTTGACTTATGATGACCTATGCTACGGTAAACGTTCTGAAGCATCAGTTCCAGTCATCATTTGTGATACCGATGTGATGTTTCACACACGCTGTGCTGTCGAGCCACCTGATACCTGACAGGAACAGCATAACGCCCACACTGAGCAGGAAGGAAGCAGCGCGTACAGACAGGAGGTACGTGCGGTGAGAAACACTGAACCACTGTCAGGAAGCAAAAAACTAAAAGACCTTTTGTTGAATTTTGAGACAGAGCTGAAATACTGTAAGAGGCTGTAAGGAGTGGCAGAAAAATATGTGAGCGTAGTACAGGAAATATCAAGCAATTCATGAATGTAATGATGAGGGAGGGAGATGATTGGTCTGACAGTAGAGGGAGCAAGAGGGTTTAGACAGGTGGAGCCAGAAGCTGTTATGGCGACCCCTTTAGGGAGCAATGGGAAGAAAAGTGTATTTTATCTTCTTATCATTTTTATGCATCAATTTTCCTCAATTGTACATTTTCAATTTAACAAACATATTTTTCTTTCCCTTCACCTGCTCTCTCTTCTTCTCCTCTTTCTCTTGTTTGGTTTTCTTCCTCTTTCTTGTACCTGATTCTTCTTCTTCACCATCTTCTTCCTTTTCCTTCATCTTCTGTTTTCGCTTCTTCCTTGCTTCATCCTCCTCTTTTTTCCTTCTGCCTCCTCTTCTTCTTTTTCATCTTCTTCTCATTCCTTTCCTTCCTATTCACCCATCTTCCTCCTCTAGTCCTTCATAATCTTCTTCCTCCTATTCTTCCTCTTCCCTGTACCTGTTGTTCTTTCTTCCTCTTCTTCGTCATCTTCCGTTCTCCTCCTTTTTCGGCGGTGCTACACGTCTGTTGTCTCACCCTGTCTAACGACTGTTGCACTCCTTGGTTTGATTGTCAGACAACAGGTGACAACTACAGTCTGTCACGTGATCCGCCGGAGGCAAACATCTCTGAGGTCAACCTGTGACATGACAGTAAATAGGGAGTGGACTAACTACAAACAGCAGTCTTAGGAAATTCCGGAACGATGCAGGATGTGATGAAAACACACATGTCCACGCTGATCAGTGCAAAGACAGAAATGGCAACTCGCTGCTGCTGTCATTTCTCACCTTTGTTTGGTCATTCTGCACTACTGACAAAATGGCGCGCGCGCACACACACAGCGTCAGAACCTGCTGGGGTGTAGAATGACATTGCACACACACAGCGCTCAGAACCTGCTGGGTGTAGAATGACATCGAATGAGGTGCGGGGAAATTCCCAGCGTCTGTGAGATTAATAAACCTTTTCCCTCGTTTCAGTTTGATTTTCTTACGTTTGACAGATGAATGGGATAATACACTTGTCATTACTGCCTCTACTACACATCCGGATGATATGTGTAAGTACTATGCAGGGGAAGAAACCACTGAAATGTATGAATAATAGGTCTCTGTATTGGCCAGAGTCTGGCAATACAATACGTATCACGATACACGGCCAACAGTACAATGTATTGTGATGTACTGTGATACTATGGGCGCAATGATATATTGAATCACAGGTAACACACATTGCTGTTCCACGGAACATAGGGATCTACATTTGGAATCATTACAGAAGAAATAACATAAAAATAAAATGAACCAACAACATTAATATTTGACTGGTTATTAGTTACCAGTTATTTTCCAGCCTTTTCGCAAAAAAATAAAAATGCATTTCTGGCTAATCGTTGTCTATCTCTGGGCTAACTGTAAGTTATCTTTTGGTCATTTTTGGATCCTGATTACGTTAAATATTTTGTGTTAAATGAGCCATCTCGAGGTTACTCTTTCACTTTTTTGAATCATTTGGCAGCTTCTGATGGATTATGTTTCACTCTTCATACTCTTTTTTTTAGCTTTTAACTAAGAAGGCTCAATTTTTAGCTATAAAATTGCTATACTGTGACAGTTTTACACCAAAAAAAGAAATTTAAAAAACAACAATAACAACACTAGTTCAGGATTTACACCAATGACACCAGTGTCACATTTTAACGTTTTCCCCCTCAATTTAGGTTTTATTAAAGGGTTTGATAAAAGTCTTTGGCGGCTTTGTTGGTATTGTTATTATTGTTGTTTATTTTATTTTATTTTTTAAAAAGCTCTTCTTTTGGTAGAACTGTCCGTAAACGTCCTCCATTAAACTTTGTCAGACTGGGTGCAAAATGTATTTCGATGTGACTTATTTTCGGCTAAAACCGATAAATTCGATGCCCAGCACTTTGTTTATTTCCACAGCGTATTTATGCTCACCTGAATACGGCACAGTCCGCGGGCCTTCGTGGGAATGTTTTTCTTTGGACGGTTTGTTCTTGTAAAAACGTTGAGTACAACGCTGTCTGTTATTAACTGTGACACAGTTAATAACCGTTTTCAGCCCCCCCTCTCAAGTTCTCCTTCCTCCAGTCTCCCTCGCATTTTCCAAACAAATCTGAATCTTGCTGCTTCCGGTATGACGTAATCCCGTGCTGCCTTCACCGCAGTCGGACATTTGGTGAATGGCTCTATAATTGTCAAATTAGCCAAAACAATCGTTCATTTAACTATATATTAAACACTCTTTTCCCCTGTATATTTCTGCTACACTGGAAACCTAAATAAGTTTCTCATATTCCTTTTCTGATTGATTTTAGTCTTTAGCTCTTCACAGGTATTCTACAAAAGTATCGTTTCATTACATTGTTGACTAGACTTCCATTAACATGTTAGTACAACACAGTTCTGGCAGTGAAGATGGTCTGACGAGAAGGGAGTGGCATGGTTACCTGTACCGGTAGCAGGTGTAATTTGAGAATTAATATTTACTTTTAGACCAATTATTTTGTATAACACGTTCAGGTTACGAGTACCACACCTGTAACCTGAACGCGTCAGAATGTATCCAGACTTAATTACGAAGAAGAATAAATCAAATCTTATGTCTTATAGATTTAATTTAAATTAGTGTTTTATTATTAATCCAGTTACCAGAGGAAATAGAATGATAATACAAAACCCAAGGTACCAGACACATTACATCTCCCCTCAACAACCACTTCAGGACTACAGTACCTTCACCTCCCTCCACTCAGTCGCAATTTGAACAGTCACATCGAACAAACACACGATGCAGTCATTATACAAAAGTACACAACAGAGCAGATGGTTGTAAATAAACAGTATATAACAATGTGGCTTTTAGGCCAACTGTGAAAACTGTCTCATGTTATGACGACAATAAATGTTAATCATTTTTTTTAAAAATCCTTCAATATGTTTCAGGGAAAAAACGTACCTCCAGTGCCATCTGTCTCGGGGTACAGGGGTGGGAGGGGGGGTACAGAGTAGTGTGCTCAAAATCACACTTTCACAGCCCCTAGCAGGTTTACATGTCATTTAATTAACAGCTAAGTATGAGAAAAATGCTAAATGAGTTTAGGTTAAGTTTACAAGGTTTTAAACAGAAATGTCACAATAAGAAACAGAAATTAATCTGTTTAGCAAAGGAAGGCATGACTTTCTTCGTCTCTTTTCATTTTGTTTTGGGATTTCAACGTCAGACATTAACAGCTTGAAGAACTTCATCTTATTCCCAATTTGTCCAGAAAAAGACTAGGAGTAAACTTGCTGCTCAACCAAGAAGTTGTGGTTCAGGGTGAAAATCGTTAACCTGTAGAAAAAAACAAAAACTAAACAAATACATTTTAGTAAGGAACTTGTGAATTTAAGGATGTCACAGGCACTCAACTCATTTACACCCCTTACGGGGTATTTGGTTTAGGGTGATGAGGGTGAGAAGGGCACACAGGATGTGTGTGTGGTGTGTCATGGCTGTTATTAATCTACTGTATTGTTGTTCACTGTGTCTATGAGGACGTCTCTGTACTGGACTAGATAAACATCAGGCGTTGAGCAAAATGATGATGCTGATGATTCAGAAGGTTTAAATGAAGAGTTCTTCAAGTCTCCTGTGATAGAAAATGCTCTTTTTAACACAGCCTCAGTTCTGCAGTACCATCCAACAGCCAGCAGTTGGAAGTTGTCCACTCATATTCTGTGCTGATTGAATGACATATTGGACACAAATAAACGAGAATAAAACCAAGATAAATGTTAAGCTTCCCTGCGAGCTGTGTATTTCTACAGAGAGACCCATCTGACAGGTGAACCACCACCTCACACCAGCAGCGTGGCTGCTATAGTTCAATTACAGGAGTCGCGTGACTCCAGTGTGGTCCAAACAGCAGATTCCCTTTCTATTCCTACCAGCCCACTCCGTGCTAACACGAAATAAAAATAATAAAATAACAACTCTTAGACTGAAACAGAAAGACAAAAAAAAAATCACCACAGAAAACGTGGTGTTCCCAGTTCCCAGTTTGGTGTGTGTGCGACTTTGGAGTGCTAAATCTTCTGCGGGAGCGACTGCTGGGACCGTCCGCTGGACTTCATGCGGTTACGTGCGTAGACCCGCAAGAAAAGTGCCAAGAAAACAACGGCGACACCTATAGAGCCTACGAAGGAGACGGCGTGGCCGTAGATGAAACAGGAAAGGAGGATTGCGATGGCCTGCCTCAGGGTCATGATGATGGTGAAGACGGCAGCACCAAACTGGTTGATGGTGTAGAAGATGAAGAGTTGACCGCACGCCGAACAGATGGAGAGCAACACGGCATGGAAGGCAAACGTAGGGTGACGCACCATGAAGCCCACCGCCTGATAGAGCGTGCCCTGCTCCAGCAGTGAGCCGATAGTGAAGAGACAGGAGAAGAGGTTGACTCCGAACATCATCTGAACCGACGACATCTTGTGCTTGAACAAGTTGTCCTGCCAGTTGGAGGTGAAACTGTCAAAGACGATGTATCCCATGAGTATGATGACCCCGCTGAAGGTCGTGGCAGTGGACGGCTTGTCGTCGTTGTTGCTGGACAGCAGGAACATGCTGACACCGAATGAGATCAGCATGGCGGTGAAGTACTCCCAGTATTCGTAGCTCTTCCGGGACACGAGCTTACCCATGAGCATGACGGGAATGACTTTGGAAGCCTTGGCCAGGACTTGAGTGGGGAAGCTGATGTACTTGAGGGCCTCATACTGACACCAGCTGCTCAGGATGTTGGAGAGCGAGGCAAAGGAGTACTTGTACATGGGCGCGCCGTGGCGGGGTTGCTTGAACATCAGGCACCACACTCCTGCCACCGTAAGAGCCAGGATGCGATTCATGAAGACCAGGAACTGCGAGTCCTGGAATCTCTCCCCTTCCTCCTCTGGATTGGAGGTGCCATAGGAACGTGTCATCACCCTCTCCTGCAGGACCCCCCACGTCAGGTACGACACCTGGAAATAACAGAGTTTTCAGTGGTGGAGTTCATAAAATGTCAAGTTATAACAATAAAATCAACTGATCTGTTTTTTAGTCCAGGTGTTTATTGTTAGTTTAATCAATTCTGTGTTGCACATTTGACTAAACGCAGGAATAAAAAAGACTGATACATAGTAATTATCTACTAAAATCCCATTGGCCTTGAGAAGTGTACAAAGGTGGGTTATGAACAGGGATAGGGATATAAAGGAGAAATGAAACCATGTTGTTCATTGGCAGTTAAAGAAGCGCTGACTGTGGATCAGTGGAACAAAGACACAGTAATGTGACCCCTGTAATAATAATGTAGTAATAATGTCTGTTTAGCAACGTTGTGCTTTAACTCTTACCTGAAGGCCAGCAGCACAAAAGAGTAATTTGATGGTCTGTTTGAAAGTGGAACCTGAATCTCCATCACTCCTGGATGCAAATGACACATCATCCAAGTGACCTATTTTGACCTCACTGCCGTACACGCAAGCCTTTATCGCCGGATAACAGGTACCACTACCTGCACATACAGGACACACAGCAAACAGGTGGGGGTTGGTTTTAAGGTGGCCAAAGAGACACACACACAGTAAATAATTACTTATCCACTGTTAATACTACAATCAAATGTTACTGCTTGTTCTCAAGTGTTCAAACCTGTTTCTAAGTAGTTCACTTTTCTGAAGTAGGTGATTAGGAGGTAGCCCGGGATGATGATAGTGCAGTATCCCAGCATGTTGAGGACGAAGCGGAAGAACCAGACATCCTGCCATCCTTCCAGCAGTGATGACTCCTGTGCAGCCACAGCACAAGGGAACAGTAGCCAGACAAGTGCAGGGAAAACCCTGAAAAAACAACAACAACACCACATTTATTATCACACAAAAGGTGAAATTCTTGAGCAAAACATCAAGGTGCTGTTTCTTTACAGTGATAATGTAATGACAACATATTTGACACACTTCAAATACTGAAAACACACAGGTTTTATTATACAATTTCCCACACCAGTCAATTCAAACATTCAAAACACACAGGTTTTATTACACAATTTCCCACACCAGTCAATAACATTCATTTGGGTTTTTCTGGAAAGAGTACCCCTCCCCTCTCCTCCCTTCCCATCCCCTCCCCCAGCATTATACTGCCCCCCTCTGTGGGGATGGTGTTCTTTAGGTGTCTTATCCTGTATTTCTCTAGCTTGTCCTCAGCACAGATTTATATTTAATTACTTTTTTTACAATTAGCTACATTAAAAAAAAACCCTCAGTAAAAGTGTGTTGCACATAATCCAAGCTAAGGTTTGAAAATGTCCCTTATTTCCAAACATCAGCAGAAATGACCCAGTTGAAATGAGTGGCGTCAACCACTTAAACAAATGAGGCTTGAGATTTGTAGTCATTTTCACCATAACGTCAAAGCGTGACAGCCATAATTTATTCAACTGGGAGTGCAGAGGTTTAGTCTCCTCATCTTGTGAGTTAATCTGCGGTGAAAGCACGGCTTTTAAGGTAAATGCCATGCTGTCGGGGCACCGAGTGTGTACACTGAGGAAGGGCCTCCTCCCCGAGGAGACCCTGACTCACACTGACAGAGCCTCTTTGTACGGTAGACTGTGGACAGGCAGCCAGTGGGCCAAAGGCACTGAACAAGCAGTTTATTACATGGAGGAATGTACTGCACTGGCTAAGACGCCGACCCACAGGCGGCTGCACTATGGGCACTAACAGTGCATTCTGACGTCATGGAATCCAGAAACGTTTAAACTTTGTGTGTTATCTGTTGTTCAAGATCACACTGTCAGAATTGAATAGAACCAACATTATCAATGGAGCTCGGTAAAAAGTAAATGTAAATGTGCTGGGTAATAAGTTTGTTTTTCTCCTTAACTTAACTTGCTCAAAATATCATTACATGTATTATACATCATCAACTTGTTCATAATTAGACAGCACTGTGCCTGTTTAGCTAGGTAAATGTTGACGGATATGGTAACAGCCAGATGGCAATTCAGGTAGCCATGTCACTCAGTTGCCCTCAGGGATATTTCAAATCCCAATGTGAATTTTGTACTATTTTGTTTGTACTATTTTGCGACCACGTTTTATGTCCATCACATTTTTTCAACTCAGTATTACATTATTCATTTTGGAACGATATACTACAAAATAACATTTTTTGTTTCAGCTTAATGCAGTCTTTTTCTTATTTTTTTTTTTTTTTCACAAAAAACCCATAATGTGGTTTCAAAACATTATATAATAAACAAACGTTGACCTGTGGCACATTCAGTTTACTGTGGTCAACAGTATCAATTCACTCAGATAGCAACATCTACACGAGTTGTGTTCAAGTTCTCGGGTTTCCAACCTGAGGCCACAGCAGGCCAGTTATGTACGAGGATAATTCAACTGTGAACTGACGTAAATATGAAAAAGTGGTTCATGTGCCACAGGTTATAATATAAATACAGTCAAGATTAGAATCTTTTTTGCTGCTTGAACAAAGATGTTGCAGCTCTAGTTTCTCACATAGTTGTTCAGGTAAAACCAGTGTAACTTGCTGTTTTATCTTGAAAAACCTGATTCAAAAGAACCACTAGTCACTGTTAAGAACAAGCCCAACACTTAAGTGTAAGGCAACACTGTGAAACACCCAGGTATATCTTGAAAGACAAGGGGCATGGCACTACTATGTCACAGACGTATTACCTGCCCAACAAAATGCCATATGTCATACTCGGTAGAAGAGGTGAAATTAATTGTCAGTTTGATGAAACTGTACATTTGTGAAAATCCTTTCTGTTTACAAAAAATCAATATTTCACATACTCGGTAGAAGAGGTGAAATTAATGGTCAGTTTGATGAAACTGTACATTCATGAAAATCCTTTCTGTTTACAAAAAATGTCAAATACTGAAAATTAGATTACATCGATATCCTGACTGGATAAAGAACCCAAAACAACAGTATTCTAGCTAAACCAACTTTGTGGTATCACTGACGTATACCATCATAGGCTGTTTTTTGTTGTTTGTTTTTTACAGTGTGTCACTAATATGCAACATCTGATATTAACTTCCAAAATCTATGTATTACCTGATTCATCGCTAAATTCATTAAACAGATGTCACGACAAAAGGCAGACAACATGTCAGTAGCAATTCTGACCACACAGTATGATGGCTGCAGAAACTTTTCATTAACTGTGTGTACTGTCACAGTATTTTATCAGGGGCCACAATCCGCAGCAGAGACAGCTCTGTTCTTATAAATTATCTACAGAAAAGGAGGAGTGCACAGTGTAAAAACTAACATTTCAAAATGGACATTTAAGGTGATACAAATGATTTAGTTTCATAAAATTAAAAAAAACAACATTTAAATAGTTTCAAAAGTGTTATTGTTATTAAAATGATCGTTTTCAATTCGACTTGTCAACTAAATGTTGCAATCCTATTCAGCCCACTGTTATATTTAAGCCAAACGACCAAATCATTATCACTCAGACTTTACAATAAACTAAATTAAACAAACATAAGCTCAGGTCACTACAACTACTTCAAATTATTCGTTGTTTAATCGACGTAAAACGTAGCAGTTCTAGTAAAAAATGACCACTAATACACAGATTCCACGCCGGTTCTTGTGTAAACGAACAGAACTGTTGTGAGGCAGGATGTTTACAGACGTTGTCCCTAACAAACATTGCCGGGGACTTCAAAGGGAGAGTCACTGAACAGAGAAAAACACAAACGACACGCTTACCGTCAGAATGTGAGAACTGACAGCACCGTATAGCCTCCACTTAGTTGTTATTGCGACATGTTAACCATTGACTTAGCCAAGTGACGTTCTGAGAGACGTTACCTCCATGAAAAAGATGTCATTTTTCCTCTGTATCCGGGTTTCCGGCTCTGGGCGTACAGAACACGCCGACACTCTCACTTAAGCGTCCCCGCTGAAACAGCGCATGAAGCCGTACGAACCTGGCAGGTAAATGGTCGTTTCTATAGTTATCCCTTTTAAAACCAGTGTTTATCTGTCTGTGAGTGGCCTCCACCTTTATATCTAATACGTTCAACTTCCCCCCTGCTTCACTGGAGCAGCAGAGGCCGCCTCCTCCTCATTCTACACGCAGGAGGGAGTCGGAAGTAAAGCTGTTGCTCTTCGGCTATAGCGACCTCTGTCTGTGCGGAGGAGTAAAGACCATGTTTATCAAATGTGTGAGATTTGAGTAAACCCCTTTTTTGTTCTTTTTTAAAAAACAATATATATATATATATTAATATAATACGCATATATCTATATCTATCAATATTTTTATCTATATAATGTATATGTATTTTTGATATACAATTCAGCTAAATACAAAAAGTAAAACACAGTATAACTGTGTTTATGAAATATTGATATTTAAAAAGTAGAAACCACTTGCATGCACACTAAAAACACTTTTAATCACTGCACTTGTTTATGAAACGTGTGTTCCATACTGTATATCACAAAGAAAACATATTTACCCAGCCCATAGGTTTAAAGAGGAAGTAGGTATAGTTTCACAACCCTTTGTACAAGCTGGTGGCCACAGTGTTAGTCTGTTTATCATCTGTCACCATAACACAGTTAAGTGCCGTTGTCGAACAACTTACACCGTTAGGCAGATAAGTAATCTTGTGATACGAGCAAGACAACCGCATTCTACTTGACAACGTGACAATACAGCTGGGAGTGTCCACTTCGACCTGTCTTTTTTCCAAGTATGTCCTTTTAACTGAGTGGAATTTCCAGCTGCTCCACACCAATTGTTCAACATTTACAGGAAACAGAAGACATAGCTTATACACACACAAACACACACAGCTGATAGGAAGTAAAGAAAAGAATTGAACTTGAGAAATGTAGTCATCATGACTTCTACAGAAAAAAACACAATAGGAGACAGTAACAGGACGGACGATGCATTAACCAATTACAACACACAGTGCAGTTGATTTTTTTTTATTAAAAAATAAAGGAACTGCTCATGTTAACTGGACAGGCCACAGAAATTATACACCAAAGAACCAATTTTTTTGAAGTGAGATAAATAGATATAGATTGATTAGATAGAAAATCTGATTCTTTAAATAGGCAGGTTGTTATTAGCTCATCTGCTTTAGATTAAAGGCCTCTGGCTGCATTCCTCCAAGAGTCTCTTTGTAGCAACGAGTGAAGGATTTTAAAAATAGAAGATTGTACTTTTTTGATTAAACACAAAAGCTGTCATAGTGGTAATGGTTTAGTTTAAGACAAGTTGAAAAAAAGAGATTTGGTTGTTCATTTTCTAGCCATTTTAACTAGTTCCATATTAAGGAGAGGTAGAGTTTCTTTCTTTTTTTTAAAGATGCTGAAAACAATTTGGCACTCACAGTCACAGGCTTTTGCAGCCAAGTACAAACCCAGTCCAGAGGCACAGATTAAGAGGATTTCATGAACCGGTCCTCCATTGGACAAAAACATGCTTTGACAGAGGGAGGTGAGGAGCCATCGGACGTGCACTTTTTATCAACACAAAACATAAATAAAAATGAAATCAAAGGTTACTATGAATAGAGCCACTATTTAATGAAAACCTTTGCGCAAATGCAGCATTTTTTCCCCTCAGGTTGATTCAAGCCACAGTAGAGCTCCAGACATAGTATACATTTTAAGGATTCAGGATTCTGCTCTAGTACTTCACACCAACCACCGATCGCCCAGAGATCTGGATGTCATCGAAAGGGAACAGAGCCAGAATCTGAAAGACCAAAAAAAAAAAAGTCCTTTAGTTAAAAAACACAAACCCACAACCGCCTGCACAGACACAGACAGTAGCCACAACAATATTAATAGTCGTTAGTGCTTACGTCATCGTTGCCGTCAGCCAGATCCAGCGCCGTCTCGTCCTCCATGTTCCTCAGCATGGTGTCAGCTCCAGCGTGGCAGAGGAGGTCAGAGATGGTGGCGTCCTGCCTCCCCACCGCCAGGTGCAGCGGCGTACAGCCGTTAAACATGGCAGCGTCCACGTTGGCCCCCCATTTGAGCAGCAGCTTTACCGATACGACGTCATGCTGTTCGACTGCCAGGTGGAGTGCTGTTTTCCCACTTGTACCTTCCTGTAAATTACAGACATTAACTTCATACCAAAGTCTTAATATTGACCAGACGTTTTCCCCCTCATTTTGTAAACTCATGCTTTAAACCTGGTCCTTAAAAATGACACGTACTGATTACATCAAAGATGGACGAGTGCACATATTTACAAGCCGCACTGGTATTTATCTGACGTGCAGCAGAGTGATTCACTACAGCCGCTGAGTTAAAGTGTGAGGAATGTCTGGGGCTGGGTTTGAGACTGACTGTCGGGTTCTTTTCCTATCAATAGAAAGTGAAGCCTAATCACATCTCAAATCTAATTATGTCTCTGTCAGCACTGCACAGGTGCAGCTGATTTATGGACGTGAAAACACGACTGCAAGGGGTTAAGTGGGATCAGAACACTGACACTGTAAGACTGCAGGAAAACCCGAATCAGGCCCTGAACCTGTCGGTGTGATGAACAGAAACACGAAGTACATCCAATTCTTTTTACAGTGGTTCCAGGGGGAAAAGAAGACAGAAGACATCGTGTCATTTGACAGACTAACCTGGATATTTAAATCAGCTCCCTTTTTTATCAGGACCTTCATAATCTGATGTTGCCTGTTCAGAGCAGCCAAGTGGAGACAGGCCAGACCTGCAGACAAATGTTAGTTTTTATGTTAAACATATATGCTCATATTTTCAGTCAAAAGCTGCACATGCTACTTTCATCAGATCCCGTGTTATTTACAGGAGCTCTTCATTTAAGGTAACCCAGTGTTTCCCAACCTTTTTTGAGCCACGGCACATGTACATCACCAGGAAAAACCCCAGGTCACACCACCAAACAGAAATCTCACAAAAAGTACATGTACTGAAATATAATAATCTTCTAGTTTAAATAACCTCATAATTGACTAAAACCTCAGCCTGTTTAGTTGAAGACAGTGCTGATATACTGGCAGGAATTGAAGAAAGACACTCACAAAGATCTTCTTCAACAGCTATGATTTTTTTTTTCAAAGCCGTCTGCTGCCACTTAGCAGAAGAGGATTTAATTTCTCTGCATTACATGCTTTGACGAGCAAAGAAAAATTATATGCAATAAATAAATAATAGTTTTCAACCCAATTAAGTTTAATTAACTTTGTTTTACGGCACACTAGTGTGCCGCAGTACAGGGGTTGGGAATCACTGATGTAACCAAACACAAACAGATCTGTCAAGTAGTTTTACTGACATTGGGTAAAACCTTGGACAATTATTTATGGGAAAAAATAAAAACACAAATGAAGTCATGTGACATATTAGACTCCAAGGAAAACATAATGAATGAATGATGTCATCTGTGAAGCTCCCTGTTTATCAGCATAAAGTGAGAGACACCAAAATAACAAACGATGTCAGCTGTGGTTCAGGGCTTTTTTTAATCACCTCTCCAGTTCTGGGTCTCTAGGACCGGTGCCAGTTTGCTGGGGGAAACATTTTGCGTCATCTCGTTGGCACATTCCGTTTGTCCGTGCTGACAGGCCACGTGCAGCGCAGTGTTTCCGTCGTGGTCCTGCAGCTCCAGGCTGACTCCCTTCTCCACCAGGCTTTTCACCACGTCTGTCAGGTTTAGATAGGTGGCCAGGTGCAGAGGGCTCTGAGGGTCACACACAGATATAAAATCATTTAATATCTACAACTACCCTCAAAAGTCTACATCTCTGTTGATGCCTGGTTGGAGTTCTGCAAAGTCTGCTGAACGACTGGGATCCAGTGTGGAATTTACAGAGAGAACATGTCCTGGATAATTCTGGTCCCTGAGCAAAACAATAGCGTCTTGGTGATGCCAGCAGCACAGATGGACGGCCAGAGTGGTTTGAGGTGATGGTAAGATGATAGTGAGTAATGGCCTGTGACGGACTACAGCAGTAAACACCACATCTACTCCCCATCCAGACAACTGAGGCTGACAAAAACCCATCAAAAAACATCGAAACCATAAACCTGAGATCTGCTCAAACTTGTGACACAAGGGGCTTTACAAGAGCAGAGGTGGGTTCACTGACTCGGAAAGAAAAAGAAAAAGAAAAAGAAGATACATGCTGAATTTTTAGAACTTTCATAATCCCTTGGGAGTTCCCTTTGGGAAATTTAGGACCTATTATTATTATTATTATTATGACTATTATAAATATAAATATACAAAATATTATATACATACATATACTGTATATGTTTTTTTTTATATACTGTGTGAAACAAATCCATTTCCAGCTCACAGACACTGGTGAAAGCATTATTTCCTATTCTTCCAAAAATAAAGAATCCTGTGTTTGTACTACAGAAATACTACTGAATACTACTAAATACATCAGCAGTGTTAGGGGTGTGTACTCAAACAGGAAATCCAGTAAATATATTTTTGCAAATGTGTCCAAATTTGAAGTCTGACTAAGAACAACACGCCCCAGTCATGGACTTGAATCCTGCCGTGTCTTCGTGTGACATTTCTGTTACCTCCAGTCTAAACCAGCAGAACTACAACGAATAGAACAGATCCTCCACCCACATCAATCCATTCAAGGTTAAACCATCCACAACAGCTCCCGGTTGGTTCTGTTTATACAGGAGGTAGAGGAGGGGAGTTTCCACTCTCTGTTCCTCATGAGCCAACCCTGGAACCACCCCTACAGTGACGCCCAGCGCTAAGAGTAAAGAGGAACAAGAGTTCTCTGGAAGAACGCAGATAGACATAATGTCACAGTTTCCACAACACCAAGGTGCTGCTGGTAATGAGGAAGTCACAGCGGGTTACAACATTCCAGCAGATGCTGCAGCCGCCTGTGTTGTGGGGAAACGGTTGGAGGTGTGTTTTTACCTGGTACAGGTTGTTCTGGATGTCTAGGACTTCTTTGGGGAAAAGGTCGATCAGGTGCTGAATGATGACACCGTCCTCGTGGATTATCGCCAAGTGCAGGAACCTGCAGGCATGGAGAACAAACCAAGGTTTCAAATGTTCTCTGTGAAAGCCTTTTAATTGAACTTTAAAGCAGCTCTAAGTGACGGTTGCTGAGCAACAGTGCCCCCTGCAGCCACAGGTGTTTATGAGCCAATGACATGACTCAAAAAAGGTAAAGAAGACATTTTTACACCAGACCAAAAAAGCTGAATGACTGAAAAACTGTAATAAAGACTATAATATTATGGGTATATGGAAAAGGGAAACTAAAGAAACGTGTTTTCACCAAGTAAACTAATTTAAAAACAAACACCTGCAACAAAAGGCTTTTGCGGGGGTGGGGGATCAGGACCAATTTTTCAGTAGGGAAATTATAATGTTATTTCCTTTTCTCAGATCCTCAGATGAGAACTGAGGTTTTCTAGAAATGACAGTGTTTTAAATAAAGCTCAATGGAGATTTGAAGCAACAGTTATGAACTTGCCAAGAGGCTACAATACATCTACCAAAAAGGATGGGGGGGGGGGCTGCAGAAACACCATTGCACTAGACATCAACACCAGGAGATCGATCTGGACTGCAGGCCGGCCAGTCCATTACAAACACCGCAATATTACCCTGAAATATCCAAGAGTCACCGTCCTCAGTTGTGGGGGGGGGACTGTGTGTTTAGTCTGTGTATAAATCTGCAGGTAAAGCTCATATTACTAGTTTTTCTGCTTCATAAGGAAGCGCTCAATATCCTCCATGCATCAGCACTTCCATTATGGGTATGAGTATGCTACAGGCATTGATTTTAGCATCAGAGGTGAAGATAATTTTTTTTAAATGCCAGTCAACAAGACAACAGAGAAAATGTTGCATCACAATTTTCCACATCATTCATCTCCGGAGACCGAGAGGTGAGAGCGAAATTCATGACTCAGTCAGCTGAACGGCAACAATCGGTGGTCAGAGTATTCATCTCTGTTCACACCTCGTTCAGGAGCCACTACTCAGTAAACACTTAGAGCAGGTGATGAAATAAAAACACGACGGTCAAACAGAGAGGAAATGATTCACTGACATGTGACAGAAATCCTCCTGTGTGACCAACGGAAACATTCTGAAGCAGCAACAACCAGTTCTGTTTCTGACATTTCAGAGAATGTTGTCAAGAAGAGGAAACTTCTCACTCACCACGTGCGCGTGTGTGCACGTAGGGGTCGACTAAAATAACTGTATTTGAAATGCTCAATTTTAAATCTCCTTTTTTTTCCCCAACTTCTCTTTCTAGGAAACTACAATAAGAACCTGAGTTCTAATTGGCTGAGACGGACGACATCTTAAATTCAAAAAGTCGTCAGCTCTGAGCAACTCTTTCATGTCAAAGGGACTTCCTGGTGTTGAGAAAGACATCAATGAATTAGAGGTTAAAAAAAAT